GGATGGACAAAATGGCCCTCTTCCTGTAGAAAGGTTGTTGCCCTCTTCAATTGCAGATCACAGTTTTCAGTGGTTCCAGAGAATCTAGAGCCTTCTGCCTCAAGCAGCAGGGGCTCAGGTGCAACCCTGCAGCTGCCCCACTGAGCCTTCTTCAGCCTGTAAAGGTTTTTAGAAGAGAAGTGCCTACCTGGAAGACAGACTTTGTCTCCTCATTCTTTACCCTTCTGTTTTGAAGTAATTCTTGTTGGGACCTAAGAGTGTTGCCACTTGACTTCCAATTCACCAGTACTATTTTTCTGCTCCTCCTAGACAGAAATATTTGTAGTCTAGGGATCCAGAGTTGATACCTAATTTCTAGTTTGTGATGTACTTTCTTTCCTTTCTTCATTAATCCAGTTTCTACTCCTTGCAACTCATATGGTGAGTCCTTTATCCCTCACTTCCTTGCTTCTTCCAAATTATAGAAATCTATTGCACTAAGCCATTGGCTGCTTCCCAGACAACATCCAATTCCCTCAAAGTTCTTAACCTTACTTTGTAAAAACCATCCTGGCCGGGCACCAGTGGCTCACGCCTGTAATCCTAGCTACTCAGGAGGCTGAGATTTGAAGATCATGGTTCAAAGCTAGCCAGGGCAGGAAAGTAGTCCGTGAGACTCTTGATCTTCAATAAACCACTAGAAAACACGAAGTGGCACTGTGGCTCAAGTGGAGAGTGCTTGTCTTGAGCTGAAGAGCTCAGAGACAGTGCCCAGGCTCAGAGTTCAAGCCCCACGAGTGACAAAATAAATAATAAAAATCATCCTGCTGGGCTGGTAATGTGGCTTAGTGGTAGAGTGCTTGCCTAGCATCCATGAAGCCCCGGGTTCGATTCCTTAGTACCACATAAACAGAAGAAGCTGGAAGTAATATTGTGACTCAAGTGGTAGAGTGCTAGCCTTGAGCAAAAGAAGTTTAGGGACAGGGCTGGGAAGGTGGCTCAGTGGTAGAGCACTTGCCTTGCATGCTCGAGGCCCTGGGTTCCATTCCTCAGCACCACATAAGAAAAAAAGCCGGAAATGGCGCTGTGGCTCAAGTGGTAGAGCGCTAGCCTTGAGCTGAAGAGCTAAGGGACAGCGCCCAGGCCCAGAGTTCAGGCCCCACGACTGGACCCCCAAGAAATAAAAAAGAAGTTTAGGGACAGGGCCCTGATCCTGAGTTTGAGCCCCAAGACTGGCCAACCCCCCCCCACAAACAACAACAAAAAAAACCCACAACAACAACAAACCCTATTTGGCTCCCGAAGCCAATTTACACCCTCCCCTGTGCGCCCCCCCCCCTTTTACTCATTGATGGTTCTCTGGCGCCTCTTCAGGTCCTCCAGGTGATAAGTGACGGCCCTGACACGGGCTGGGATGCCTCCAGGTCTCTGATGTATTTTCTCCAAATGCAGCCTTCTTCTCTTTCTTCTGCAAAGCATCTCAGGAGGAAGTAGCCCCTCAGGAGGGTATATGCCAGGCTGGGAGCAACCAGTGCCTCTCTGTGCCAGAGAATGAGAAAAGGGAGCTAGAGGATTTCTTGGGGACCTTGGACAGAACTCAGGAGAGTCAGGGGTATTGGGAAGTCCGGGTGTGTTCTGGAAACCATGATGAGAAATTCACAGAAAAGAGGGCCTGGTTAGTGCACTGGTTAGGAAACACCAGAGGGAAAGAGAAATAAGGACAGCTGGGGCCAGGAAAACAGTAGGTACAAGTATAGAAGGGCAGAACTCATCATACCAACTTGGGTGGAATGGATTGTTCCTCCATCCAGTTGGGGCTGTAAGGTATAACAAGGGGATTACAGTCAGATTCTTCTCTGATGACTTCTACTACTACTTGTCTGGCCTTAGGAATGACAATGCCTATCAGCCAGTAAGGCGTTATCTCCAGAGCCGGGTGCTGGTGTAATCCTAGCTACTCAGGAGTCTGAGATCTGAGGATCAAGGTTCAAAGCCAGCCCAGGCAAGGAAAGTCCATAAGTCTCTTATCTCCAATGAACGACTAGAAAACTGGAAGTGGTGCTGTGGCTCAAGTGGTAGAGCACTCACCTTGAGCTGAAGAGCTCAGGGACAGTGCCCGGGCCCAGAGTTCAAGCCCTATAACGGACCAAAAACAAAAAACTTTACAGGCTCAAGCTAGGTGCCAGTGAATCATGCCTATAATCCTAGCTACTCAGCAGGCTGAGATCTGAAATTTGAAGCCAGCCTAGTCAAACAATTTCTTTTTTTTTTTTTTTTTGCTGCCCCTATTCTGAAACCTTTATCATAATAGGTACTCACTTTGCTAACCATTAGTAGATGTGTGAGAATTAGAATCTTTTCTGTCAAAGTGGTTAAGTGCTTGATAGTCAAACAATTTTGAGAAACTATCTCTAATTAACCAGGAAAAACCTGGGACTGGAGGTATAACTCAAGTGTAAGCTTACTGCTGAATGTGTGAGCTGTGTTGTAAGCCCTACTACTGGAGCATGTACACACACACACACACACACACACTCACACACACACATGAAAAAACTACAGTCTCACCTTCTCTACTGCCAATTATTCCTAATTTTCTCCATTACTCACTTGGACCTTTGGGTAAGGTTCTCCCAAAAGACATCACCATAATGTTGGGCCATTGGTTTGAGGCTCTGGGAAGGCAGGGATAGGGGTGTAGATCGGCTGACCACTTTGGAACACCTAAGATAACAACATAGTAGGCTTATAACCATGCTCTTGTGTGACATCATCTACTCACCTCCAGGATTCAGGGTCCCAATCTTTCCCTGTCTACTTAAGACAGGAAGGTTGTAAAGCCTCTGATTTGAATGGAGATTGGAGATAAGGTGAAATAGGATATCAGTTATTGTCAAAGCCTTAGATTTCACTGCATCTCAAACTTCAATACATCAAAACAGAGAACATTACTTGGAAAGCAGAATTATTATATAGACTCTAGTGATGGGTGCCAGTGGCTAATCCCTGAATTCCTAGCTATTCAGGGGGCTGGCTAGCATATGACAAGCACAGTTCAAAGTCAGCCTGGGCAGGGAAGTCAGTGAGGCTTTTCCTAATTAACCATCCAAAAGCCAGAAGTGGAGCTGTGGCTCAAGTGGTAGAGTACTAGCTTTGAGGAGTTTAGGGAACAGTGCCTAGACCCTGAGCTCAAGCCCCAGGACCAGCAGAAGGGAAGGGAGGGGAGGGACAAGAATTGAAGGAGAGGAGGGGAAGAGAAGGATGAGAGAGGAACAAGAGGGGAAATGGAGGAGGAAGGAGAGGGGAAGAGGAGGAGAGATCAACCAGGCATAGGTAACTTGTGCCTGTAATTCTACTCAGCAGGCTGAGATCTTCAGATCATGTTTGAACCTAGCCCTGTGCAGGCTGGGTCCAGTCGTGGGGCCTGAACTCTGGGCCTGGGCACTGTCCCTCAGCTCTTCAGCTCAAGGCTAGAGCTCTACCAATTGAACCACAGCACCACTTCCAGCTTTTTTCTTTTTGCTTATGTGGTGCTGAGGAATTGAACCCAGGACCTCATGCATGCAAGGCTCTACCACTGAGCCCCCTTCCCAGCCCTCCAGAAGACTTTTACCTCCAGTTAGGCACTAAAAAGCTAGAAGTGGAGGTGTGGCTCAAGTGGTAGAGTGCCAGCCTTGAGTAAAAACACTAAGTGAGAGTAAGAGTCCCTCAGTTGAGTGAGAGACTCTGAGTTCAAGCTCAACTACTTACATTATAGATAATGAGAGTTAAAGCAGGGAGCCAGGCGCTGGTAGCTCATGCCTGTAATCCTAGCTACTAAGGAGGCTGAGATCTGAAGATCACAGTTCAAGCCAGCCTGGGCAGGAAAGTCCATGAGACTCTTTTTTTTTTGGGGGGGGGAGGTCCCTCAGGCATGCAAGGCAAGTGCTTTACCACTGAGCCACCTCCCCAGCCCCGCCCATGAGACTCTTATCTCCAATAAGCCACTAGAAAACTGGCCTTGTAACTCAAGCAGTAAAGTGCTCACCTTGAGCTGAAGAGCACAGGGACTACACCCAAGACCAGAGTTCAAGCCCCACAATGGACACACAGACACAGATACATATACACACACACACACAAAAGATAAAGCAGGGAAAAGAAATACAAAGTGTGTGAATAGAAGCTGAAGTATTAAGTAAGGTATCTATACTTTTGAGTGAATAAAGGGGCTTAAAGTTTTAGCCTTGGGAGAAAGGATAGGACATGTGGTCCTAAGGCAGGAGTAGGTTTCATGCTGTTTAGAATAGTGAGGTGATTATTGTGGTTGAAACTGTTCCATTTTCATTTTGCACCTGCCTTGAGTGAAAACATGAAGCAAGAGCAAAAGGCCCTGAGTTCAAGCTCCAGAACTAGAACAAACAAAAAAAGGATAGCTGACTACTCTAGTAATTTGACATAGAGTTTCCTTAGGTCAATGCAATGATCCAGGAGAGAGAATTCTAACCACTCCTACTTTGTTTCACTTATCTCAAAAGGATTAATATTTCATGTCCCTTAAATATTCTTTGTTAGTTATAGGGATGGACTGTTTATGTTACGCACTTAGCTTAAACAGTCTATTTATATTAGCACTGTATCCCTTGTGCCATCCAACATTTTTTTTTGGGGGGTCCGGTCGTGGGGCCTGAACTCTGGGCCTGGGCGCTGTCCCTCAGCTCAAGGCTAGCGCTCTACCACTTGAGCCACAGTGCCACTTCCAGCTTTTTTCTGTTTGCTTATGTGGTGCTGAGGAATCAAACCCAGGGCCTCAGGCATGCAAGGCAAGCGCTCTACCACTGAGCCACCTTCCCAGCCCCCATCCAACATTTTGTATTTTTTTTTTTTTTTGGGTCTGGTCCTGGGCCTGAACTCTGGGCCTGGGCGCTGTCCCTCAGCTCTTTAGCTCAAGGCTAGTGCTCTACCACTTGAACCACAGTGCCACTTCCGGCACTTTCTGCTTATGTGGTGTTGAGGAATCAAACCCAGGGCCTCAGGCATGCAAGGCAAGTGCTCTACCACTGAGCCACCTTCCCAGCCCATTTTGTATGTTTTTGTAAACAGTTCACATATAGTACATTTCTGTACTGCTTTCTTTAATGTATACATGCTTTGTTTAATTATTAATAATTATTCAATAATTATTTAATAATCAATAATTTAATTTAATAATTAGTTAATAATTAATCTATTGTTAATGACTATTAAATCTGGTTAACTAGTAAAAAAAAAAAGAATTAATATCCTTGTAGATAGGGTGTCACTTTTTTTTTTTTTGCCAGTCATTGGCTTGAACTCGGGGCCTGGGCATTGTCCCTAAGCTTCTTTGGCTCAAGGCTAGCACTTTACCACTTGAGCCACAGCACCACTTCCAGCCTTTTCTGTTTAGGTGGTACTGGAATCCAACTCAGGATTTCATGCATGCTAGGTAAGCATTCTACCCCTAAACCACATTCCCAACT